TATATTATAATATTATGTATTATATTACTACTCGTTTGAAATATTTCCTTTATCTTGCCTACCCGCGAATAATATTTCTCGTGCGCTGTATTTACTTACGCATATTATATTATATTATATTAGTACGTTATACACATAATATTATGCTTTAAGTSTGCACGACGGTTGTTAAAAATAGCATGTACGCGCCTTGTAAAGTCATATTAACAAACTGTGCACGAACACGATTATTCGTATAATAGTTTGTGTGCATATTAGACGCGGACCAAACTGCGAAAGGGTTTACCGGGCGAGCATTAAGTATAATATATATCTATACTTAATATTCAAGGACAAGACGATATARTTCTCATTAATGAGATATTTTATTATTAAAAGCAATTATAAGGGGGTGAGAAACACCATTAGCTCATAATAATTCGTTGTCCCTGTACATATATATATATATATATATAGCTATGTGTATATTTACTCCACGTGAACGTTTATAAGTGATACCAGACCACTTCCGCGAGAGAGCACTTAACTCAATTACCACCCCAAAGCGCTTATGGTGACCGCGTGTGTCTTCTTCCGTTTTTACAACACTCCTGGGGACCACTGATGCTTTCATCTTTAATGCACTTCTCTTCATTTATCATACCGGAAACTGTTCGAATTGCATGCGTATATATATATAGGCTGTTCGTTTACTGCACGAGGTAGGCGATAGCAACCGTCGTATACCACTTACAGTAATCTACAAAAACGGACGTTGTATTCTTTTCTTCCCGCCTCGCGAACTGCATCATTTTTCAAAACTTACACGCAAAAAAAAAAACAATTTAGAAAATTATTTTCCCCCAGTTTTATTATATTTGGTTTTTGTCGCGACAAGGAGTCGCCTACCTACCTACCTATCATTTATAAATAATTTACAAACTTCATTTTGAAATATTTATATGTACCTATATTTTCATCGTAAAAAATATCAATAATAATGTGGATCTATATAGGTACCTAATATTAATTGATTATCATTATTATATCATGAATTCCTATCGTTAGCCATATTACGAATTCTATAAGAGGTACCCACTCACGTTTTATTCTTATAAGAATTTAACTAATTACTAATTTTTATATTATACTTTCTACCTAGGACTTACCTATAATAATATATATATATATACCTAACTTCGTATAATATATTTTGACTATTATATATTCTTATATTCAGGTAATAAGCATTTTATTAACAACGATTAACAATAATTGAAGTGTAGCTAATCGCCGAATTCAAACTTATAAAGCGTGTTAATATACGGTATAAAGTTATAATGTTTGAATGTTTTTTAGACGTGTGAGATGGGTTTTTTTTATGTAATTATATACAACAGAAGTATTAGTAAGCCTGGTATTGTAAATTGGTTATACTAAAAAAACATCGAATTCTTGATTTTATGTTKACGGTAATGGTAAATATCAAAAATTTGTCTGCGGTAGATATATAATATGTAGGAATAATCATAATGTATATATTACAATATATTATAATGTAGTCATAAAACGAGAGCTATAATAAGTTATTATTAATAACAGCTAGGTAGTGTTTATATAGTTTAGTACCTATTATATTAAGTAGAAAATGGTCCAGCAGTTCGCTTTAAAATAAAATATTGAAATGATGTACCTGCAGATGATAAATAGGTGCACCCATACATATATATTACATTATGTTTAATAGTGTATTATCTGCCCGTGATTGTTGTGTAAAACATGTACGAACTTTCGACTGTTTATCTCATGATAATTATTGTACCTATTGGCGAAAATTAATTGTATAATATTAAAATATTGTATCTATAGGCACACATTTTTATTAATGAAAATTATGGTTTAATCATTAATATTATGTTTAAAAAACTCATGTTAAATCAAATATTAACCGTATAATAGTTGAGTGTAATATAGGTACGGTATTTTTTCTACCGATCACTTAAAAACTGTATGATTAGAATTTCATAATAAATACATAAATTACTATTAACACGCATGATTATGTAGRCATAGTTATGACGTATATTTTATATTAAATAGCAAAAACTAAACATCAATAGTAAATACAGTATAGGTATTTATCGTTGAGGTTATTGCAATGAGGCTGTAATGCTATATATAATCGACATATACAAATAATATATACATAAAAATAATTTCGACAAAAAATATAATTGAACACATTTTGTACATAATAATAATTAATATTATATGGATTATATAGGTAACAATAAGGTATATATATAGGTATATAGTATCGAGAATTTGAGTTAACAATCGTCTTCTGATAAATACTTGTAAACAAACTATATCCACTTATTACGATGAATCGTCATCACTTCATGTGTTTACAATATAATGTGTACATAATAATCAGAACTTTTCGAATAAACAAAAAATAATTGCATGCGCGATACCTATCTATGGAGGTATAATATAGGCATATATATAGGTAGGTTAAGCGTAATAGGACATAAATGTATAATAATTTTATATCTGTGAACCTCGTTGAAAAAAATATATATTGTGTAGAATGTTTCGATTTTCGAGGTGAACAACAAAGCGTTGTAATGATATTTAAAAACAATTAAAAAAAAACAAAACAAAAAACAAAATCGTATCGTATATCGAATATATTAAAGTGATAAATCACGTGGCGCTCGCGTATATATATATATAGGTATATTATCTATACACTTATTTCAAATATTATATAAGTTTATATGGGATGGTCTTATAATGGTTATATAATATCGCGATACCTATTAACACCTAAGCACATTTACGCTCAATATGATGAAAAAACAGAACTAATATATAATATGATAATTATATAATATATTATATACCTACCAAACACACGATACAGTTCGGTTGGCGGTTGTCTCCTCGCGGCAGAAGAACGACGAGAGCCGAATGAACGGGACAAAAAAATCCAATAAATATAATGTAAGAAAGACGTATGACGTATAACAAAACGTAATAAAAACCTCGCCAGCGATGACGGCGGGGGCGGCGGCGGAGGAGATGACGATGCGCGATAAATGGAYGATAAGTGCATTATGCAGGCGCGTGTCGTTTGTATACCTTTATATTTTTTTTCAAACATATACTATCGCATATGATGCGTGATGTTGTGGTTGCGGCGCGCGTCACAGCTTGTCGAAAGCCCTGGAATTGGTGAGTAACTCTCTGGTTAGCCTCCACGTCTGCTTGGCCGCATTCTCCAGACTGCCGGGCGCCTTGCCCTTGAAAAGGTCGACGTGCGGCAGGAAATAGTGCGGGCACCGTCGGCACTGCAGGCACGAGATGAGCTGCAGCAGTATGCCGTTGATGCGATCGCCCAAGCACAGTTCGTCCCATTCCACTTCGAGCGGGTGTTTCTCGCACTCGTACAGCAGCAGCGTCTTGATGTGGTAGTTGGTGACCGGGTTCCCGGGCAGGTCCAGGTGCCGGTCCCTGAGCGTCTTGAGCACGCTCAGGCACCGCTTGCGGCAGCCGCCGTACATGAGCCGGTTCTCGACGTCCACGAACGACATGACCCACGCGTCGCCCTCGAGCGCCGACTGCTTGCCGTGCAGTGTCACGCACTCCTTGGACAGCAGGTCGAAACCCTCGGTCTTGACCTCGGCAACCAGGTTGGGGTGCGGCCACGGGATCTGCGGCAGCGGCCAGTGGGCGGACGACCGGGGCCATATGCCGGCGCACTTGAACGACGGCGTGATCTGCACCACGTACCGTTCGCGGATCCGGAGCTTCACCTCGCTAGTGTCGGCGATCATCTTGACCGAGTCCCGGTACGCGCACTTGTCGCACGCCTGCGCCACCAGCGTCTGGAACCGGGACCGGATCTTGCGGGCCGACAGGTATCCGGAMGCCGTGATGAACTCGACCCACAGGCTCATGCTCCGTTTGCGTCCGTCGCTGAGCTTGAGTACCGCRCACCCGGGCAGCGACCCGTCGTCGACGAAGTTGAGCACGCCCATCTGGTTCAGGTAGAGCACGATCTCGAATTCGGTGGGCGACACCACGTCCAGGCCCTCGTACCTGCCGTTGCACTCGACCAGAGACGATATRAACCGCGGCTCCTGGGACTCWACCTCCCGGAGCACGTCTTGCACCACCTTGCATACCTCGCGGATCGTTTTCGCCGTGACCGTCTTTCGGGCCATCACCCGTTCAGCCCAAAACTTGCCCAGCTGGTACGACATCTTCGTCTGGGCCGACAGCATGTCCTGGGGCACGAGCATCGCGGCTTCTGCGGCTGTTGCACCGGYACCGTGTCGCATGTCACCTGCTGCAGGTCAGAGGCGGTAGCGGACCGTTTTCGCGTCACGACATGATGACGACGACCGATCCGATAATTTATTATTATTATTATATTATATAACACGCCGTGTACGCCGCGGACGGACGAGAAAACGAAAAGATTGAGTATATTATAGATGGATAGATCGCGTCGAGAACTATACACACATATATTTATATATTAATATGACGTTGCGGACTCTGCTCGGTATACGCGTTGACGATTTATTTTTATGATTTATTATTTATTGTGACGTGAACGACGATATAGTCTTGTGTCGTGTGCAGTGCGAGCGACGTAAGATGTGATACTGCAGCGGGTATAGTGTGACGGCRACGGTGACTGCGTCCGCTCGGTGGAACCGCGGCGGCGGCGTCGGATGGTGGCCCGCGTCGGGCGTTCCCGCGCTCACTGGTGCGGTGGGGCGCGGTCCCGGGAGGCGTCGACTCCTGGGAAACGCCCATTTCGCGCGCGCTCGTCCTCGCGGAACTATCGATCCGGGGCGGGTTGCAGGCCGCTGACGACGATATTGCAGCTACGACGCGTTGATAATAATATTATATTCTTGTTCGCCGCCGCGTCTTATACGACAGATTTTGCGTCGCGACCCGTGGCAGCCCATACGCTGCCTTTTTTCGCTTCTTTTCCCCTATTTTTCCCCGTTTCGTTTCGTCGTTTCCAGCTTTACACGCGATTCGTATGTGTGTGTGTCTGCGRGTATATTTTTCTTCGGATTTTTTCACCATCTCGACGACATGTTTTTTTCTCTGTTTTATATTTATACGCTACACTCGCAGTAACCACACACACACACATGTCGAAACTCACGTGTAAAGTATATTATATACAGAGTGATACACCAAGCATACTACCCCTCCCCTCCAACCGGTCAACCATACCAGCTTTTCTAATTTTTGGAATATTAAATGTCTGTATATACCTATGTACACATTGGTACATATATATAATATAGTCAATGTAGGTATTACCTATTATACTTTATTAGTTACCATATTTTTAAATTCTTGAGATTTTTCCAGTACTATGTCTATTATTATTGMTTAATAACAGTGTCCTGGATACTCTTGTATACTTTGTACTTACTGCTGTAGGTAATACTCAAGTAGTGATACAAATGTCTGTTTTTCAAATGGGAACCACCTTATTTAGATTGAAAATTATTTAGAGGATTATTATGAAAATTTATATGTCCCAGTTATTTAAAATGTTTATATTAATAGGATAATATAATATAATAGTCCTTAAAAATATTATTGGGAATTTTTCTATTTATTATTAGGTATTAATGCGTCGATGGATTAATATTTATTATAGGTAGGTACTATACATACTATTCTTATCACTATCATAGCCCTCGTATTTCTTCCACATAAATTAGTATATGATGGACATATTATTATTGCCCTTATATTGGCACACAAATTTTATAGAACCGTTCGAATTTGGATTTTGATACGTCAAAAAAATGTTGATACAATTATACCTATCTGAATTTCTAAAAAACCCTTTCATTGATCATATTAACGCTTTCATAGGTATTTAACTGTAAGTATAGGTATAGCCGTATAGGTACCTATAAAAATCTCAATAGTTTGAAATGCTAACCTTTGAATTTTAGTACCTATATAATATAGGTTTTTATCGTGTTTAAAATTCAAAAATCACAATTTCAATAAWTTTACTATTGAAAAAAAAAATGCAAGATGATGAGCTTACTCAGTGATGAGTCACCCTGTATATACCACTCGCTGTAACCGTTTCTCTTTTTTCTTCTACTTCGTCTTTTTGTTTCTTTTTTTACGCGTAGTGTATATAATACATGTTRTATACTCTTAAGTATATATATATACCTACGCTTAAACGCACGCATGCTCGGGCAGGAAATTCGATACGTAATTTTTTTTTACCCTCCAAACGACGCGTTTTCATAATTTATTATACGAGCCAAATAGATATATATTGATGTAGGTATATGTGTGTGTGCGTGTGTGCGGTGTTAGGTGTTTTTTTTTTCCATTCCGACTGTCTGTCGAGTCTTTATTGATGCAGGCGAGTGTATTTGTTACACAGTATGCCTATATATATACACATATATGTATATGATGGACGATGGTATATATTTTAGGTTTGTATTTATACTTATTTGTGCATGACGATCCCCAAAGTTTAACCGATTTTGATGTATGCTGTATATATGTATATTATAATTTGATATCGTGGATAATATATACGGCGTCTATTTTTACTCATATTATTCATTCGATCGATAAATATTACAAGCAATTAATGTTTTACAACAAACGATTTTACATAAATTATAATTTTATTATTTGTTTATTGTTTGTATTATAGCTATCTATATTATATAGGTATAGCTATATATATATATATATATATATATATTCATGAGGTCGTGCCTTTCTTATCGGTTTATCGTATATAGGTTTAGATACTTCCGCGGAAACGTTGAATATAACGTCTTAACACTAGTAAGCTGTTCAGTAAATGAATATTATAAATATGTGCGACCTAAGGGCTAAGATTAGGTACCCATATATCGTATTTATTTATTTTTAAATACGATGATATAGTTTGAACAATTTGATTACATAATATATACGTTTATGCACAAATAATTGTTACCTACCTATTAATCGTATAGTAATAAAATTAACACATTTGTATATTCGATTATCATACCATTAAATACGATTTTATGTTTAGTTAGATGTAGTTGGTATATAGATATACGTTTAAATTAACCGGTCGTACAGTGTTTATTTTATTATTTTTTTTAGAATGACAATATAATATCATGTTTAAAGTTATTTGTTATAATCTAATATATATATGTATTAATTTGTAAAATTTGGTTATTTTTTGACTGTAATTATTTTTTAATAATAAGGTTAGGTTAGGTTAAAAAAAAAATTTGGTTTCTAAAAGCCGTATTTATATGTTTCACGAAAACGTATTTGGTGTGGTGATGCATTATATTATATACTATATATTATATTAGATAATACGATTTTACATGACTTAAACAAAATAAAACTTTTCAAAACGTATCTAGATATATTATATAGACATAAAGAAATATATTTTATCCTATCAAAGTATTACAATGAGTACATATTTTACACATCACTTGGAAATTTCCGGACTCAATTAAACCATTGAAAATCAGATTATTATTTATTATCGCCATCATGTGTAAATTTGTAAATTTCCATTTGTTTTAGGTAAATAACAATTGAACTAGATTATGATTTCAAATATATTCTTTCATTGGTTTATCCTTATATTATATTGAATAATAATTCAGAAACATTAACATTCGTATAATATTCTATTTATTCATTTCAGTTGCACGAGTTCTGTCAGTTCTGAGATATACATGTATTACCTATTCGATTTAAATTTAGTTATAATTAAATGGATATACACATTACACAAGTTTAATTTTAATATAATTATATAATTAATATCCATCAGCATAACATGAAGACAAAACGTGCAATAACTTATATGATTATTTATGTATCATATAGTCTGTATATAATATCATATTATATCTATATACTTAATATAATATATACAATAATATAAGTTCTAATATTTATCGACATTTTTACACATTTATTCGGTTAATTGTGTATCTGTKTTGGTGATTAATTTATTTAACAACTATTATCATATATATTTAGGATTTATTATAGGTAAAGTCATAATATAATATCATGAAATAAAGTAAAATATCACACGTAATTTGAGTCAACCGCGGTTGTGGGACATACTATTGGTAACATATAGGTAGGTATAGCATATCCATATATATTGCGTGTTGCAAAATAGATTAAAAAAATAATATAATTAAGACCAATGATCGTATATGAGATTTTTTTTCATCCTATAGTTGCGTGCGGCGTTATTAATAAGGATAATATTAACATAATATTTCTGGTAGGTATTTATTTATATTGTTTTATCGTAGATCTTGATGATATAATATTATTGATTCAGTAGGTATTGTAGGCTTGTATATAGGCAATACGTAGGTTTTTTTGAATATTCGAAGGAGAAATTAAAGTTTAACCTATGTCAAAATGTATTTAGTTATCACCGAAGTTCCATATTCACAATATTATTAGTTAATAATATTGAATTTCTGTATTATGTGGACCGTATATGAATTACATCCTACTCAATATTTCAAGCTTTACACTTGTTTACAGCCCATTTCGCAGCGTATTCTGCAGCAGTTTAAAAACGCAGCAAGTCATTTATCGTGGATTATAATCAGAGTAATGCTGTAGCAATGTTATTGCAACATATTTTATCAGTAATTGTACTATGATGAGTTGGATTGGTGGAAGTACCTATACACTTGATCAGAAATATAACCTATGTCTCACAATAAATATGCATACTATTAATACCTTACCTATAACTAAATATAGGTAGGTACCTATTTAATACTAAAAATGCTAAGAAAAAAATATAAAAACCAATAAATTACTAAATTATATTGAGATTATTTATCTGTGAATTCGATGGTTCAAAATCATCATAATAATTTATCCTCGTACTCTTGCTAAAAAAAAATATATCCGCAATGGTGGCCTTTTGTTTTGTTCTTCTTATCCCATTCAGGAAAAAAAATAAGTTTTTCAATGTAAATTAATAAAATAATATTCAATACATTGGGTCTAGTGGCTCTGCTATATTGGTGCATGATGCATTCAAGTATAATTAAATTTTGGTTTTTTTGTGTAACTATTCATCCAATGTTTTATTCTGTTGTGGCTAGAAGTTTTATCTACTTGAATATATAATATTAAATCAACATCGTATAATGTTGACTGATGAGAATGTACCTAATAAATGATTTTATTCTTTTCAATTTATAAGTAATCATGGTACGGACAATAGACGTAACATTTTATGAATAATTAATGTAGTTTATGTTCATATATCTACAATATTTAATTATAAAATTCGAAAATAAAAAAAAAACACTTAAATATTTTCAGTACTTTTATTTTTAGCATGTTGGTAGATTTATAAATTATAAACAATGCACGAGTTCTATTATAGTTATGTATTTATAAAATATTTACAAACACAATATATTATTATTACGAGCTTAAGACATTAAAAAGAAAAAAGCCGTTATTGAAGAATAATATGTATAGGTATATATAATAACAATATCCGTCTATAAATCGCTGGCATAGTAAAAAAGTCAATCTTATCAATTTTAATATAATTTTATTAGCATAATGAGTAATAATAAAATATAATAAATAACTATACTAATAGTATCTATAATAACAAAACGGTACAGCATAATATAATATAATCATTCTATTACTGCTAATATTGCACTCATATACAACAAAAACGATTTAAAAAAAAAAAAAACAATACATTATGTAACTTAAAGAATAAAAAATATTTAAATTTAAAAAAAAAATTAGGTTTAATAGTAGTAATAATAACAATATAGGTAGAATAATATTATAGTCATAATAACAATAATAATATATATCAAACCATTCGAGTGATGATGATCATATGCGAGTACCTAATGTATACATATAAAGATGCGTTAACTACAGAGGATAATCATTGTCGGTAATATTATTTAGAGATCATTCTATATAGTTGGCATTGCGCTTATTGTATAGCTATAATACATCTATAATAATGTATTATATAACCATATCGTAGGTAATGCATTGCTACTTCCGCGTAATAATATTATAACATACAAAATAATATAAAACATTATATATATATGTATCATCAATTATAATATTATTATTATAAATGATATACTAATTATATTACATACTATATATCGATTTCAGCGTCTTATACAGAAACGCGTTGACCAGGGCCGGCTTAAGTTACGGTCGACGAGTGCGACTACGGCACAGCGCGCCAAAATCAGGGGGGGGGGCGTGGTCGTGTGTTTGTAATATCTCGAATTAAGATATCTTAATTCGTGGTTTATACGGTTAAAAAGAGGGTAAAGGGTGCCGAGATGATATTATATACTTGCACTGGGCGCTGATTAAGTATTAGAGCCGGCTCTGACGTTGACTAGCACAATATATAAGTGTAGCGTGTATATATTATACCTATATGATAACATATTTTTCTATTATATTGTATGCACTGATACGCAACACGCTGCGCGATGCAAAAAAAAAAAAAATAGAGCGAGACCTCTGATGACTATACACCTCCGAATAACGGACGACAAAATTGCATCCTTATATACCGAATAAATATAAAAAGTAGGTTTCACGCCGTATACTACACACACACACACACACACACACACACACACACACACACACACACATAATAATAATACGAAATATACGCGTACGCGATATAATTATACTGTTCAGAGCTTGTCGAAGGCCCTGGAATTGGTGAGTATCTCACGGCTGAGGCGCCACACGTGCTTGGACGCGCTCTCCAGGGACGCCGGAGTCTTGCCCTTGAACAGGTCCAGGTGCGGGATGAAGTAGTGCGGACACCGGCGGCACTGCAGGCACGAGATGAGCTGCAGCAGTATGCCGTTGATGCGGTCCGCGATGCCGGTCTCCTCCCACTCGGCGTCCCGMGGGTGTTTCTCGCACTCGTACAGCAGCAGCGTCTTGATGTGATAGTTGGTGATCGGGTTCCCGGGCAGGTCCAGGTGCCTGTCCCTGAGCGTCTTGAGTATGCTCAGGCATCGTTTCCGGCACCCGCCGTACAGCAGCTGGTTCTCGACGTCCGTGAACGACATTACCCACGCGTCGCCCTCCATCGAGTTCTGCTTGCCGTGCATGATGACGCTGTCCTTGGACAGCAGGTCGAATCCCTCGGTCTTGACCTGCACGATGAGATTCGGGTGTGGCCATGTGAGCTGCGGCACCGGCCAGTGTGCGGCCGACCGCGGCCACACGCCCGCGCACTTGAACGACGGCGTGATCTGCACCACGTACCGGTCACGGATCCGGAGCTTCACCTCGCCAGTGTCCGACAACATCTTGACCGAGTCCCGGTACGCGCACTTGTCGCACGCCTGCGCCACCAGCGTCTGGAACCGGGACCGGATCTTGCGGGCCGACAGATATCCGGAAGCCGTGATGAACTCGACCCACAGGCTCATGCTCCGCTTGCGTCCGTCGCTGAGCTTGAGTACCGCGCACCCGGGCAGCGACCCGTCGTCGACAAAGTTGAACACGCCCATCTGGTTCAGGTAGAGCACGATCTCGAACTCTGTGGCCGATACCACCTCCAAGCCCTCGTACCGGCCGTTGCATTCGGCCAGCGACGATATGAACCGCGGCTCCTGGGCCTCCACCTCGTGCAGCACCGTCTGCACCACCTTGCAAACCTCGCGCACCGCCTTGGCCGTGGCCGTCTTCCTGGTCTCCACCCGTTCCACGCAGTACTTGTTCAGCTGGTACAGCATCTTGGATTGCGTGGCCAACATGTCCGACGGCAACAGCATGCCCGCGGTGAACCGTACGCGCCGATCTCTTCACAATTAACCGCCGCTGTATAAACTATATGTAATATGCGCGAATAATGGTTTTCGCGCACGCTAACACAATCTTCCAGCGTAGTCGGGTCTATGCCGCTGCAGTCGCTGTACTGATTTGGTGGCGGTGCAGCTGCTGTACCCCGGCAGACGTCGCGTGCGGCCCGCGTGATCCGTTCGGTCCGTGTGCGCGCGCGTGCGGTGGCTGCGTCGGGCGATCGAACTGCCGGGTCGCCGCTGGGTTCCCGACCCACCGGTTACAGCGGCCACCCAGGTCACGCCCACCAGACCAATGGCGTGCAATCCGCCCGTCGCGCGCGCGCCGCCGCCGATCGATATCGGCGGCGTCGTCGTGGTCGGCGGTCGACTCGCAACTATAATATATAGATAGGTACATAGAAGTGCTATAATAGCGCCTTTTTTTTTTCCTTCGCCCAAAACGGTCGTATCTTATATGTAGGTACTAGTAAGATAATATGTCGTCTATATACATCCGTTTATTCGCTTTTTTTTCCGAAACCCATWCCGGCCATCGCGTCACAAAAATTATTCCAAATAAATACTATTTATTTGCATAACCCGACTTATTTGTCTGGGAAAAACTATAGCGACCTATATATATATATATAAGGATTAAAAAAGGAAACAAAGAAAACACCCTTCGTGTCTCAATATATATGTATATATGTATTAAAAATTTGATCCCAATCGGTTCAGAACCTTTTTATAGTTTCCAAGTATAATATATATATTTATATTTATATAGGTATTAGTCATTAGATATGTGCTCCTACTCTTCCCGCATATACAAACGTATAATAAGTAATAATATTTAGTTTTTATAATAATTTGCGTATATAACTGCCTAGAATATACATATATATATATATATTGTTCATGTATATAATGTATATCATCTATGCTGGTTCGTTTGCGTATTATACGTTTTTTTTTTGAAAAATATTTTCCACTTCGCTAACAGGTGTGAAGACTGCAGCGGTTTTATAGTTCTCATCACACGATACTTTCGTAAAAGGTATTCCGCTCCTATATTATATATAGGTACCTATATATAGACGAATGCTGATACCTATACGTTGTGTGTGTGTGTGTGTGTCGATCCTTATACGAGTTTCGTTCCAAATACAATGGCTCGTTTCGATTCTATATATATATATATATATATATTAATACTTATACTATATATGTGCCTACCTTATATAGAAGTATACCTATATACAACACATATATTATTTTCGACCCATATGTATGTTTAGTAAAATAATGGCGATTTAAATTTATATAATATTATATACGTATTTGGTAGTAACTGCAGGTATATAAGTAGGTACTTRAATAAGTAGTATTATTATATATTATAATATGGTTGCAGTTAGTGTTTATAGGTAGTCTTTGCATATTTCAAATAGGTATTATACATACGCGTTACATATACAAAAAAGGTATATATATATATTGTATGAATGTGTTTGTGCTCAAGTGCGATAGGTTTTTTTAAATATATATATTCACATAATATAATAGATACGCCGGTTCAATGTGTTTATATATTTATATATAGGTATACCGTTTGATATATTGCCTAAGGTATGCGTGCGCAGTGTGCAAGTATAATATTATTATGTGACTGTATGTAAATCTTCGCTCACTCTGCAATGGATCACTGCATGCCTTATTCCGTRATCGTATTTGTCTTGCAAAACTCTTCTAATTGACCGGAATTTCCGTACTTGCAACAGTATTCATCCGCATATATTAAACCGCGACCAAACGATGAAATCCATATAAATGTCTCGTCTGATACGCGCAACTATATATATAGATGAGCATTGTTTTCGTATAGGTGCCTATATGTACCTATACCTACTTATGTACATAACATACGTCTTTTATCCCTGAAATTATCATTTGTATATCATCGCATATAACAATTCATTATTACTCCTTTAGCAACTATACATGATAAAGGTTGTAAAAATCGTTTTACGCCAATTATATATGGTCGTTTAAACTATCGATAACGTGTTACATATTATTATACGAGTATATTACCTATACTTATAGACACTAACTATAATATATATATATATATATGTATAATTAAGTAAAATTAAAATATTACTATGTAGTTGAAGGTTATATATTCCGAGTAAAATACTATTATATGCCTATATATATAGATGCTATTTTACAATAAAGGTATATACCCTAGGTGTGCATCTACTATAAATAATCTTATAAATCATGCCTAACTTTTACTGGGTAAGTATTATTATATGTACTTATATTATAATACCTATATCTCATCTACAATCAATTTAAATTTTTTTTTTAAATTGATTGCATTTTGTTCTATTGACAGAAAATTAAATAAAAAATGTATCGATACCTCATATCTGACAAGAAAAAATGTTCAACAATGAAATTTTCACTATTTCCGTTATTATATTGTAAATTTATTAAATTATATCTACGTCATGATTTATGTATATTTTAGAGGTTAAATARAGAGCTCTATATATAAAGTACCTGTACCTAAATATATACAATGTAATAGGTTACAAGCAGTATACAATATATGATTGATATAAACTACCTTTTTTAATCTTTCTAGGTACCTAAGTATAAGTAGAAAAAAATTTAAATATGTGATTCACGTATTTAATATTTAATGGTACACGTAATAATGAGTGAGTTTAAGTACATCACTATGTTTCTATATAACATATATAATGTACAGTGTAGGTACAAATTAAATGCACGTTACATAAATTTTTATTTTTATTTTTATAAGGTAACTGTGTACAACTATATACTGTTTATCTACAATTTTACCTTACACTTTAAAATACCATATTGTATATTATAGTTTCTGGTATGCCTATGCATACTTATAATATATACAATAATAATTAATGATATCATTTTTTTTTTTTAAATAAAATGAATGTTATTCTCACGAACATGTATTTCTAATTACTAGTTTGAAGAGATGCATCGTATATTGGTGTAGACTGTAGGTATATATATTATTATAGGTATATTCGATAAAAGTGTGTGATGTACCTTACCCATAACTCTTATATTATATAATATATATTATAATTTAAGACACAAATATATGAATCTATTTATATTCATTTTATACATGTGTTGGCTCAAATGTATACGGAAAGAGTTATTTGATAAAAATGCAAATTTAAAGAACTGACTCGTTTATGCACATTTTTGTAAAATATAGTGTTATAGCATTTTAAAATAAACATTGTATTCGAATCGTATAAAATTCACATTATCGAATTGTGTTTATATACAAAATAATAAAGTTTTATGCATCATACATATCCGCTGTGAACTTTCTAATTCAATTGATATGTGCAAATTTGTAGTTATGATGCTCCGTCAATAATGTTTGTGATGATGAAAAAATAATAATAATTAAATACGCGTTCCGTATATATATGTTAAACATTATATTTTTTAAATTTTTCGATTTTTTCATTTCTTTGGAGTTTGGATAAACTTATTCACGCCGTGTTAAATTTTGATGGCCCCTGAAAACTTCCATGAATATTTCTTAATTTACACTTCAAAAATATTAATTGGTGATCTTTGTGGATATGTCCTACGTATATGTATACGCAGGCCGTCTGATCGAGCAAACTGCGGAAAATAGTGAATATGGGCATAGTGATGACCTAACTGTCGCCTTGCAATAACTACTATTACGTCGGTTTTCGATTACTTACTCGCGCACTACATGCATATATATACATATATGTACATTTTATTTACTTATTTAGCCTAAGACCCGACCCCTCTGTGAAATGGCCAGTGCTTTATTATGTATATAATATCCCTCGTGATCCTCGGTACCGGAGTTACGGTCGTGCTCTTATACCATATATGTAGCGTGCACATGCCTCATATATATATAGGCGCTCACGTCCTCGTGGGGGATGAACGTCACTTCGGATTACCGTTGCAATTTGTCGTCGTCTCTGGCGTCGTAGAACGGCATATCTCTTAGGGGGCGCTCGCGAAACTCACTACAACGGAAAATATTACTTATCGTGCGTAGGAGTTTGATAAATATTATTTAAAGGTATGTATAAGTGTGTATATGTATATATATATAAGAATATGTATAAATCTGATGTTTGGGATCGTCGTAAAATAATAACGACTATGGAAATGAAACGAACATATTGCTTATACTGTGATGTAAGAGGCGGTACGTAGTAGAATTTGTATAATGATAACAATATATACATAGCTAATAACTATAGGTATAATAAAATAATATTAAATTGTTTGTAAGTATCCAACCAGTTCGTTAAAATATTGAGACTATATTTGAAAAAATAATTCGTAAGAAGTTTCATTAATCAATTCCATATAATTCATCAAAAACACGGTCAAATAATACTTATTCTTACTTGTTTTAAAATTCTGCGTTTAAAGTGTGTTAGCATTCAATAGAATATATTATAACATATTATAATAATATTGCACTGTTCATTAATCTTYCAATTAGTAAATGTACAGCTGTATATATATTGTATATAGTGGCTCGTCGTCGTCGTCGCAGTATACCTATATAATATTATAAAATTATCTGCAGCTGTAGTCTTGTATAGCTAATATTATATTAGTATTATAATGATATATAACTTTATAAAACTCTGAATTTTCATTTAAATGATAATGGATTTACTACTTAAAAAGTTATAAAATGCAAATACACAATTATAATTTGATTGTGGAAAATGGAGTTACGCACTTAATTAATTTAAAATTTACTTTTTTAAATCAAAAATATTTTAGCCTCTATAATTGTATAAACAATTGTTATTTATAAAAATATTTTATGTTTTTATAACTTTATTTAATATTATTTGATTTTAGAGCTATAAATCAAATTATGGATGAGCACATAGCTGATGAGTATTAGTTTATAGACAATTGGATATARTGAAGTAGTACAAATCGGGGTTACCTACCCCAAAACATGTTTGTTTACTATTCCGCTGGTCAAAATTTTTAACACGCATTAGTTATAATTTATAACTAATAAACTATGCTTGTTCGAAATTAGATTTTTATATAGATCGAAATACTCCGAAAAATATTCTGCTTGTAACAATTATAATAATTGTATATATAATATGTTACATTATACC